ACACAGGGTTGGGGCCTCTTACGGGCCCAGCAGCATCTGCGGCTTGTCGTAACAGATCGGGACTCAGGCTGCCTCCTCCCGAAGCAGAGCTGGTCCTGCCCGGACGCCGTTGCCCTCCCTCCCCGACACGTGCCCTGCACCGGGCGTGCACGAGGCTGCCTTTAGGTGTGCACCTTCAGGTGTGCAGCCTACGGAGGCTGGTCAGGCAGTGCCAGCACAAGGATGGGAGTTAAGAAAAAAAACCTACCCAGACCAGCACGAAACGCTGCGGGAGACGCAAGACAACGAAGTGGAAATAGCTGGGCAGGGCTCATCCCTCCTCAGCAAAACGCCGTTATGTCAGAACCAGATGTTTTCATCACAGTTTTGTTCAAGAGGTATCCCTGACCATTCACCAGCCCCCCGACGTTCAGAGGAAGCACGGGGAGGGATGTGTTCAGCGATGTGCAAAGCGCTTTGCCGAGACACACACACACACATGAGCTTCCCCCTCCCTCCTGCGTGCCCTCCCACAGCTGCCCAGGGGATTTTACCACGACAATTCACAACAGAGATGACGAAAACCCCATCCCTTTAGCAAGAGTCTCTAGGAGGTTCAAGGAGACCAAAGTGCGCCTAAGGTAAAAGCATACAGAAAAAACCCAGCCTAAAAATAGAGTAACTTGTCGGCGCTGGCAGGGGGGAGTCCCAGCCACCCTTCCCGCGTGCAGCACCAACGTCTGATCCGCCCTTGGGTTTGGGTCCCCACCCCCACGCTGCAACAAAACACACCTTCTTATCTGAGAAAATCTACGGTGTCCATCACTGCGTTCTCCGCGACATCGCCTGAACACAGGCGCTTTTAGTGGCTTCGGCTTGAATGTACGCAATTATAAAATAATGTATGCAAACGTGAAATCTGCTGCATTTTTATGAGATGCATCAGGTGCAGATGAGTACAGATAAGAGGAGAGCTTTGCAAAACACAGGAGCGCTTCTCTAGGAAGAGACAAAGGGTGTTACTGGTGCACCACTTCAACAGCAGCTGCCCCATTTCGCCAGTATAAAAGCTCAGTTTGTTATTTCTGCTGTAAAGAGTCCTCAGCTTTTGTACAGAAAATAGGGGCAGATTTTGTCAGGCTTCTTTTGATTGCGCAAGGATAAGACCAACCACCCTGCCGATGAACCTAAGCCCAAAGAATTGAAGGTCTCTGCCCAACTGATCCCCTCGTGTCCTGCAGGCTTTGCAGGCACTGGGGCTGCAGACCGCCGAAGGGCAGGACCTTCGCACGAACTCAGCACCTCCAGGGACCTTTTCTGCGCGGGCGCTGGGCACGACGCTGGTCGCCAAGACCAGGCCTGCACCCATACAGCATCCAGCACTGACAGCGTTCCTACCACGGACCTGCGAATTCCAGGCTCCGGAGGCGTGCCGCTCCGTGTGCGGGTACCGAGGTGCGTTCCCGGACAGCAAAGCGCAGGAGCGCGCAGCTCAACACAACGCCTGTTTTAGGGCGCAGTTCAATCTTGTATCGGCAACTTGTAAAGCTGCCAGTAAATATCAGGGTTATTAAAATTTGGCAGCAATCGGAACTAGACGGCTTGTTAGCACGGCACAGGTTAACTTTGTAAAGGAGGCCGGGTAACGAGGGAGCAGCCCAGCAGCAGGCGTGGAAGGCGGTGCTCTTCGGCACCAGCTGAGGACTGGACAGCACCGCTTGAGCTGCTTGGGCAGGCACGGCACGGGGAGCCCACGCCTTTCGGGAGCGGGGGCGTACGGCGTCGACCGCAGCCCGTGCACAACCCCAGTGAGCACAAAGCAGCAGCGGACCCGCACGGGCGCGTTCGCAAGGGTATCGCAGCACGTGCTCCCCTCGCCAGATTTAGAGGAAAATTCTGTACCCATGCTTGACAGGGACAAGCTATTTTAGTCATAATACAATGAGCCGGAATAAATGCTTCTGCTTTTATTCTCAATCAGTATGCGATTCATTAAAATTGGAACCCTGTTCAGCCTTGGCTTTAGCTGACTTCCCAAATGATCCGTATTATCGCTCCGCTCAGAGGATTTGCCGGTGCAACACAAATGCGCCGCTGTTCTGCAGTCAAGCTGCTCCAGGCAGCTCGCGCCATGCCAAGGAGATGCGCAGGGAAGATGCTGCTGGACCGCTCCTCTGGAGCCCTTTCGAAGCCCTTCGCCC